AAGATAAAAAAAAATGACTAGATTACCATAATCTAGTTTTGGATTACATTTGTCGCAAGAGTGCTTTTGTCTTTTTCAATTTAGTACTGCATATTAATCTCCAATTCCATTATAATGGACACACATTTTATCTCAACCTATTAGTACTCTTGACAATCACGCAATTTCATTTTATGTTATACCCGAACCAAACATCCCTTTAATAGTTTATCATATTTTGTGAATCCAACCGTAAGATTCAGTGATCCTTCCATGCTCGTCATGCATGTTAAAGATTATGTCAATATGATATTCATAATTGCTTCATCCACATCATGCTCTAAAATTAAGGTTTTGAACTTTTAATGTAAGAAAAAGAAATGTGCATTCACTAAAGTCGAATGTTCAGTGTGCATGAAAGCACATTTTGCAGAAAGTTATGAAACTCTCAGTTCGTCCACCAGATATGGGTGGAGCATTACCCAAATAAATTAATTAATGTTTTTTTTATTTTTCTAAATTCCAAATAGACGTGTTGAGTGGATCGTGGGAGTATTATAACGGATTGAAAAGAGGAGTACACACAGTAAAGCACACTAATAAACACACACATGACTACGATTATTGTACTACAATATTGTCAACCTGGCCAAAGCTGTCAACAGAACACTTCATTGAAAACGTCATGTTTGGACCAAGAGGGCTCTCGCACCTACTGAAAAAGTCTTTCAGATATTAGGGTTTGTCTTGGCATGATTTGATGTGTTTCGGACTTTTCAGTTCTTCCATGTCATGGATTTGATTTGATATCGACAGAGATGATGTACGAAANATGTGTTTCGGACTTTTCAGTTCTTCCATGTCATGGATTTGATTTGATATCGACAGAGATGATGTACGAAAATTTATTTCTACTGTGAATGTAAGAAATGTGGACGATGAATCAGGTATCAACATTCAACCAAAATCATCTCGTAGGTCTGCCATAGCGAAAGCGTTGTAACCATCATAATTCAAGTTACATATGACAGAAGTACAATTTACGGGTTTTTAGTCAAAATAAAAATAACAAACAAAAGAGAGTGATTCGTATTGGTGGAATAATTGTAATGTGACTACAAGTTTTTTAGCCTAAATGTATGATATTTGGTCCTCCACACAAATAGTGCATTCAATTTCTTCTTCCTTATCATTTTCTTTCTTACTAGACTTAAACGACGAGTCATAACTGTCACANCACACAAATAGTGCATTCAATTTCTTATTCCTTATCATTTTCTTTCTTACTAGACTTAAACGACGAGTCATAACTGTCACAAAGTATAAAAAAAACAAATTCAACAGTGGTGCATAGATTCAAAAATAGAGCTAGCATATTGAGCTAAATGTATGTTAGCAATGTATAACCCTAAACAAATTACTGTGTACCATTTTGCTTTGATTTTCCCCAGAAAATTAATCCAACGATGGTCGAACATAATCCAAGCAATGATGTATACTCTTTAGTTTGATCTAGGTCCCTTCTAGTACACAATTTCATTCAATTTCTCTTAATCCTAGAACACCTATTATGTATTGATGGGAGATCCATTTATATTCATGGGTCAAGTTTGAATTAATTATGAGTAATTTACCATTAAGAAAAAATTCAGTGAAATATATACTGGATGCAATCGAAATCACCCTATTTTTTGTTTTTCGAATACATCTTAGTTTTGCGCTCTCTGTGGGAGTAAAAGCTGTACAGTTTCATTATTTAAAGTAAAAAGTTAAAAAATGAGTAAATTATATTTTATCTTTTAAACTATTATCTTTGTTTTACTTTGCACCCTCAACTATTGGAGTGATATAAAATAAATTGNAAAGTTAAAAAATGAGTAAATTATATTTTATCTTTTAAACTATTATCTTTGTTTTACTTTGCACCCTCAACTATTGGAGTGATATAAAATAAATTGATATTTTAGGGTGCAATGTAAAAAAATTTATAATTAAGAGTGTAAAGTGAAATAAATATAATAGTTTAAGGAGGTAAAATATAATTTATCCTAAAAGAATGGAGCAGCTCTGGCTTCAACTAGGGTGTAAGAATGGATCTAGATCCCCTCCAATATATTTTTCTTTTAATTTCTTGCTTGATGGATCATTTATCACTAATGAGTAAAGGACTCACTTGTTTATTATGGGTCTCATTTGTATATTATGATAGGTGATCTGTCAATAAGAAAATTGAAAGAAAATGTATTAAAGTGAATCCGTGAAACATTGCCCTACATCAACATAAAATTACAAGGACAAACGAACTCGAAAATGTTTTGTATTGTTCCATTCTGAGTCTGAGTTCCTTTAACCACATAAAATATGAATTTAAGTGATATTCATGACTAGCAGACAGTTGTATGCATTCAAGGATTGTTAAAACTATAAGTCCCAAGAACACATAGTTAAAAACATTTTGCGTTATGTACAACCAAAAAAAAAAAAAGGAGGATATAAACAAAGTAGGAATTTGTCGAAACAAAAATAAAATTCAATCCCACGTAATGAATTTGTTTGCATCAATCGTAGCTGGTTGGGTGTGAATGTGAGAGACATTACAGCCTGTGAGGCATAGTCAAGAGATTCTGGACATGGGGCCAAACTTAGGGTTTGTGATGGAACTATTTAATGTGTTGTGTAGACTTTTTTGTTTTTCCACAATAGATTTTCAAACAGCCACACAAAAGTCTCCACTCTTATGGTTTAATTTTTGTTTTTTTGTTACACAGTGGTGTTGACCTATGTGCTACAAGATTAATCTGTTGGGGATTGAGTTGAGTTCATTGTGGGACTCTTTTGTTTCTATCGGGTGCTTAGTCTCCCGAGTTAAAAAAAAAGTAAAAAATCATCGTAACGATAAGATTTATAAGATCACATGTACATAATTTTATTCTTACAACTCTCGCAATTTGAAAGAGTCATATTTATGTTTGTACATTATTTCTCGTTTGGGTATGTTTTGAAACTTTTGAAAGAGTCATATTTATGTTTGTAGATCGTTTCCCGTTCGGGTATGTTTTGAAACTTAATGAAATACTACTGTTTTTTCGAAATGAAAATGAGGACAAATTTCATTTTACCCCACTATGGTTAGACCCATTTGCACATCACCCCCAAACCCCCAATTTAAAACTAATCCACATATATCTCTCTTTTTCTCTCTCTTATATCTCTCTCTTTTTCTCTCTGCTCACTTTAATTTTAAATTATGTAATTACTATTTAAAATACAAATTGTTTTATGATCAATGAGTAACTGTCCAAATTAACGGAATTGATGATGTGGAAGGAAAGAAATTCCCCCCTAAGTGGCTATATGTGAAAACCACCTTTGGGCCACAGGAGGTGATTGATGTTCACCTTAAGCAAACATCATAGATCAAGAGATATAGGNGATGTGGAAGGAAAGAAATTCCCCCCTAAGTGGCTATATGTGAAAACCACCTTTGGGCCACAGGAGGTGATTGATGTTCACCTTAAGCAAACATCATAGATCAAGAGATATAGGCAAAGGTCAATGCCAACAGTAATTGCATTCCCATCTATGCCATTTCTTCTTCAATCACCAACTATATACTGCATCTTCCTCTTCCATGCCGNGGCAAAGGTCAATGCCAACAGTAATTGCATTCCCATCTATGCCATTTCTTCTTCAAACACCAACTATATACTGCATCTTCCTCTTCCGTGCAGTGAACAATTCCTCCCCAAATGATCTGCTTAAAACCCAATATGGAGCCTCAAAACAACATTTCAAATGCTTTTTGTTCATCGTTGCTTTTATTTTCAATGAACTTGCTATTTCTGCAACATGTTTCAACTGCCACTCATCTGGGAAATGAAACCGATCGACTGGCCCTGCTCGAATTCAAGCATCAAGTGGTCAATTATCGCGACGGAACACTGAACTCATGGAATGATTCCCTGCCACNTTGCTATTTCTGCAACATGTTTCAACTGCCACTCATCTGGGAAATGAAACCGATCGACTCGCCCTGCTCGAATTCAAGCATCAAGTGGTCAATTATCGCGACGGAACACTGAACTCATGGAATGATTCCCTACCGCACTGTCAATGGCAAGGTGTTACATGTAGCTACCGACATCAAAGAGTCACAGCCTTGAATCTACGCGGACATGGCTTGGTTGGATCCATATCTCCCCATATAGGGAATTTGACCTTCCTAAGGTTCATTGATCTCAGAAACAACAGTTTCAATGGTGAAATTCCCCAAGAAGTTGGTCGCTTGTTCCGCCTGAGACATCTAAACCTGACAAACAATGCAATTGGCGGAGCGATTCCAGTTAACCTGAGCCGCTGCTCAGAGCTCAGAATCATTGAGTTAGCAACTAATAATCTCGTCGGAAAAATTCCCCCGGAGATGGGCTCTCTGAACAAGCTCGTGACACTTTTTCTTAGAGCGAACAATTTGACAGGATCAATTCCGCATTCTGTTGGGAACCTTTCATCCCTGGAACAAATTACTGTAACATTCAATAATCTGGAGGGAAGTCTACCAATTCAGCTTGGCCAACTCAAAAGATTGACTTACTTAAGTATTGGAGTCAATCATTTTTCAGGTATGGTCCCTCAAACTCTTTACAATATCTCAACTATCACTTCCTTCAGCGTCGGAGATAATCTGCTGAAAGGGAGTCTTCCGGCTAACATAGGTCTCACTCTACCCAGACTGCAACTACTTAGNCTTGGCCAACTCAAAAGATTGACTTACTTAAGTATTGGAGTCAATCATTTTTCAGGTATGGTCCCTCAAACTCTTTACAATATCTCAACTATCACTTCCTTCAGCGTCGGAGAAAATCTGCTGAAAGGGAGTCTTCCGGCTAACATAGGTCTCACTCTACCCAGACTGCAAGTACTTGGNTCATTTTTCAGGTATGGTCCCTCAAACTCTTTACAATATCTCAACTATCACTTCCTTCAGCGTCGGAGATAATCTGCTGAAAGGGAGTCTTCCGGCTAACATAGGTCTCACTCTACCCAGACTGCAACTACTTAGTATTGGCGCAAACCAATTCTCTGGAACAATCCCATATTCAATCACCAATGTTTCCGAACTTCAAGTACTTGATCTTCCTGAAAACAACGTCAAGGGACCAGTTCCAAATAATCTAGGAGATCTCAAAAATCTTCGCATTCTAAATGTTGGAATTAATCTTCTGGGTACTAATACAAGTCAAGACTTGAGCTTTATTACATCTTTGACAAACTGCAGCAATTTACAAAGGCTAGACCTTGATGGAAATAACTTTGGAGGAGAATTACCCAACTCCATAGGCAATTTCTCTCATCAACTCACAGAGCTAGGGCTAGGAAGGAATCAGATATCTGGAATTATCCCCCCAGGACTCGAAAGACTTGCCAACCTGTACACGTTAGGAATGGAGAACAACCTTTTCACAGGTACCATCCCAAGTAATTTGGGGAAATTACAAAGGTTGCAACAATTGCTACTATATGGAAACAGATTATCAGGACAGATCCCACCCTCCCTGGGCAACCTCTCTCAAATGTACTCCCTCTTTTTAGCTATCAACAGATTAGAAGGCAATATACCTTCGAGTATTGGGAACTGTCAAAATTTGCAAATGCTGGAACTGTCACAAAATCGCCTTACTGGCATCATACCCAAAGATGTTATGAGTTTCTCCTCCCTTTCGAAACACCTGAACTTATCACAAAATTCATTGAATGGTTCCCTACCGCAGGAAGTAGGTAAGCTGAGAAATATAAATACATTGGACATCTCGAATAACAAATTGTCTGGAGAAATTCCAGGAACAATTGGAGATTGTTCGAGCTTGGAATACTTAAATATGCAAGGAAACCTTTTTGAGGGCACCATTCCCTTAACTTTGGCTTCTTTGAAAGGTATTCAACATCTAGACCTTTCAGGAAATAACATGTCCGGAGAAATTCCCAAAGACCTGGGGAGCCTTCTCTTTTTGCAATATCTTAACCTCTCTTTCAATGAACTTGAGGGCGAGGTACCTACCAAAGGAGTTTTCAAAAACGCAAGCGCAATATCAGTGGTTGGGAATACCAAACTTTGTGGAGGTATCCTTGAACTGAACCTACCGCCATGTCCTACCATTGTAAAGAAGCATGGAAGACCTAAAGCATTCAAGATAGGGATCATAGTCGGCAGTATAGTTCTGTTTTCAATGCTAATGATGTCCTTTGGAGCTCTATGCTTTTGGAGAAAAGAAAGAACAAGTGACTCGTTTTCCACAAGTTCAAGAGTTGACGGGCTTTTAAGGATTTCTTACTATGACCTATACCAAGCAACTGCAGGATTCTCTTCAGGAAATCTGATTGGGTCAGGAAGTTTTGGGTCAGTCTACAAGGGAAGCCTGCAGCAGGGGAAGGAAAGGTTAGTAGCAGTAAAGGTACTTGAACTTGAGAAGAGTGGAGCTTCAAAGAGCTTCGCAGCCGAGTGCAGAGCCTTAAGGAACATACGACATCGGAATCTAGTTAAGATCTTGAGTTACTGTTCCAGCATTGATTCCAAAGGTAATGAATTTAAAGCACTAGTTTACGAATTTATGGAAAATGGGAGTCTAGATTCGTGGTTGCATCCAGAAATAGTTGAAGTGAATACATTGAGGACTCTGAATCTTCTCCAGAGGCTAAATATTGCAATTGATGTGTCTTCTGCGTTGCATTATCTCCACAACCATTGTGAAACACCAGTTATTCATTGTGATTTGAAGCCAAGCAACATTCTTCTAGACAATGACCTGACTGCTCATGTCGGTGATTTCGGATTAGCAAGGCTCCATTCAGGAAAGACCAATGATATTTTACAGCAGCAAAATAGCTCGATTGGAGTAAAGGGATCTATTGGCTATGCAGCACCAGGTATGATTTTGTCATACTTTGTGCTTGATTTAGATCATCGATATGTTTCATTTAGCTAACCTGTATCTCATTTAATAATATTCAAGTATGGAAAACACACATATGAACTTGGAAGATACTAACATTGCAGCCTAGAATCAAGCAAAATAATTGGTTCTGACTTCTACAACGAAACTCATTACTAAAACAAAAACTTTCCAAAAAACGATAAAATTGTAAATTTGAAATCCTAAACAAGGGAATTTGACTAAAATCTGAAGAGCGATGGATAGTAAAAGTCCTGACATTTCCAATTAACCATGGGAATTTCATGTGATTCTGCTTTTGGGTTATTTTACATCTACTATTTGCCTTTTTGGAGGTCCAATCGTTCATTCATCTCGTTTGACTATTCGACTTCAATAGAAATTGACTGTAGACTAAATCTGTCGCATAAATTATGATCTCAAGAAAACAATTTTAAGATGAATTATCTTCCAGAAACTGTAAAATAAACAGAATATTAACTGCTGCGAACTCTCCCTTCTTTCGAAAATGTTAATGCATAAAACTAAAGAAACCTTATATTTCACCATAGCAGCGAAGTAGTCCACAAATAGTGCAATATGTTTAGTATCT